GGGTTCCCTATCACCAGCTTTCCTGTCCCCTTCTGCCTTCTAGTCCTTGTCCCTGGACTGCTATGCCTCATTAGTCCTGTTTTGTTTTATGGGGCTGTCTAATCCCCGGCTGAATGGTGAACCTTGGAAGTGACTTCACCACTGAGCTAAAAGTGTGTCTGGGGGCTATACTCTTGGGGTTTCTCCATGGAAATAGGTTTTTGAAGATGCTATCGATTAGTTACCATGAGGCCATATTGGAATGGAATGGGTCCTAACCCAATCTGAGTGGTATCTTATAAAAGAAGAGGGGAGACAGAGAGTTATGCTGTAGTTGCAAGCCAAGGAATGGCCTGGGGCTACCAGAAGCCAGGAGAGACAAGAAAGGATCTTCCCCTAAAGTCTTTGGAGTTAACATGGCCCTGCCCACAGTCAGATTTCAGACATCTAACCTTCAGAACTATGAGGCAATAAATTTCTGTTCATATAAAAAAATTACTTTCTTCAAACCTAGCACATAAAGAAGAGAAACTTTCTCATGCTTCCCCCTCACTTCGTCCCCAACGGTCTCTTGGAGCCTGTCTACTTCAAGGCTCACTGCAGACACAAAGGACACCTGAGCAATTTTCTCAACCCCAGAAGTCACCAACAGCCTCATAAACAAGCAGTGCAGAGCAGAGCAGCCAAGAGGAGGGTTTCCCTGCAGTATCATGCTCTGATCCCTCTCCCTGACCTGCAGAGTTTCTTGCCCTAATGTTTATAAGAGCCAATCACAAGTGTCCAGAACAGAGTGGGGTGTCTAAGGGCATAGACTCAGGGGTCAGAGTATATGGGTGCGAATCCCAGCTTAGCCCCTCCCAGGACCTCAGTTTTTCCATATGGAAAAGAAGACTAATTTGTTATGAAGGCTTAGCAAGCTCATGCAGATAGCGGCCAGGCCAGTCCCGGCATGGACGTTAAGCGAGCAGATACGTTGGCCACTGTTCTACAATTGAGGAATGGTTGAGGAATCAGGCAGAAAGTGTCCTGAGGAATTTCTATCCATCAGACCTTGCTGCGATGTGATGGGTCCAACCTAATGTGATGAGAGGAAGGAGCAGTACCTCTGCAGCAGGGCTGCTCCCCAGTCCAGGTGCCATTGGGCAGGCACACGACACTGCTGGGCCCGACCAGTTGGAATCCAGGGTTGCAGGTAAAATGGATTTCGTGATTCACTAAGTACTTGCTTCCAAACTTTCTGCCATCCAGAGGGGCATTGAGAGCCGGGCAGGAAACTGTAAGAAGAGAGAGAGCAGGATTAGGAGCCCTTCCTCCTGGCCCATAGCCATTTAGGCATCCCTCTCAGTCATAAAGGCTTCCCATTTGTAAGCACCCCTCTGCTAAATGCCTAGCTCAGGCTGGACACTGTGCTGGACATTTGAAATGCTGTGTCTCACCAAACCTTCAAAGCACTTTGGGATGGGTACTGGATCCCCACTTAGTGAAAGATGAGACCCCAGCTCAGAGTCACTGAGTGCTGTGCGCAGGGCCTCACAGTGTGTGAGGGTCAGAGCTGGGGCCCCCAGGTGTGGCTGATTCACCCCATCACTGCCATCCACTTGCTCTGCTTTCATGGAGCTCCAGCGGACTGGGTTTTGTTGGGTCTCCTTAACAGGCTGGGCTCAGTCCCACCATTAGGCCTTGGCTTTTGCTCTTCTCTCTGCCTGGAATATTCTTCTCATGGGGGGCTGCTTCTCACTGTTCAAGTCTCCAGCTAAGTGCTACCAGCTCCCAGACTATTCCCTGACCACCATGCCAGGCACTACCCCTGAGCTCACTTTGCTTTCTTCTTAGCATCGATAACCACTGGAATTACCTTACTGACTGATCTGTTTCCATGTCTGATGTCAATCTTCTCCATCAGGAGGCAGTTCTGGTGGGCAAGGACTACATCTGTCTTTGCATCCCCAGCACCAGCCCAGTGCCTGGCACACAGTGAGTGCTCAATAAACAATTCTTAAACAAGTGAATGAATGACAAATTATTTATTGAGGGCTTACTATGGACCAGGGCACTATATCAGGTGCTTGGAATACATCAGCGAACAAAACAGGCAACACTCTGCCTTCAGAAAGTCCCCTTTCTAGCAGGGGAGATGATCAATAAACAAGATCAGTAAGTAAATGGCAGTAAATGATAAGAGTGATAAGTGTTATGTAGAAAATGAAAGTAGGGAATAGGACTAGGGATGTCAGTGGAGGGGGCACAATTTTGAATATGGTGGTCAGGCTAGGCTTTATTAGAGCAAAGACTTGAAGAAAGACAGTGAAGGCATAAACCTGCAGATATCTGGGGAGGGTAGATACAGCTGCTCCAGGCAGCGGGAATGGTCAGTGCAAAGGCCCTGAGGTGGAGTGTGCCTGGCAGGTCTGAGGAATGTCAAAGAGGCCACTGTGACTGGAGTGGAGTGGATGAGGTGGAAAGTAGTTAGAGATGAAGTCAGAGAGGCAACAGAGAGCAAGAGGGAACAGAGGCCATTGGAAAGGAAATCAAAGGCCATTTGACATGTACTCTGTGTGATATGGGAGACATTGGCGGGTTCTGAGCCAAGGCACAAAGTGGTCCAACTTAGATGTTAGCAGCATCACTCTGGCTGTGGCTTGGGTATAAAGTGTTGGTGTGAGAAAGGGAAGAAAGCAGAACCCGGGCACGAAGGCAGCTCAGATCAGATGCAACTGGGGGTGGAAAGAGATGGCTTGAATTTTAGAGGTAGCTTTCTTGATGGATTACTGTGGGTTGGAGAGAGAAGGAGTAGGAACTCTGCCATTCTTCTTCTCTCTGAGGCAGAGTGTTGGGCACACGGTTGGTGCTCAGGCACTGTCTGTTTAATGACTGAATGGCCAAAGTTGGGATCAGTGGGATTTGGATTTAGCGTAGGTGGAAACTCAGAGCCACTCCTAAAATGTGTTATAGTTAAGTTCCAAGTTTCATTTATAAAAATATTGTTAGGATTTTAGACAGATGAAAACGAAGCTATTGCTTCAGCATTGTAGGCTGAAACGAGTGACAGAGAATCACTCAGCTTTCACCATGGAGAAAACATTTGGCAACATGTCTACCTGCAGGTGCCTAGACCTGAGGCCCCAAGAAGAGTGCAACAGGCCTCTCTCCCAGACACGGAGCAGCCGTGGAAGCCTGGACTGGGGAGACTGGGGAGAAAGGTACAAACCAGACCCTCCAAGTACTCTAAGTGGCCCTTGGTTACTAGGGCTGCATCACTTTCCTTTAGCAAAACTCCAACTTGGTACCCAGTGGTAGTGTCCTGGTGAGAAGGCGGTGAGTGTTAGCTCAACTCCTGACTCCTGGGCGCTCCTCGGTTGGTGCCTCAGTCCCTGTAAATAAATGACTTCATGGTTCTTTTTAAAAATGTAGTACTTAATTGTGTTGAAAACGATTTAAAATGCTTTGGGGGAAGGCGATAGGGCCTCTTTAGGAATGAGAAATCTTTAACCTCAAAAAAGAAAAACTACAGGGCACCTGTTGGAGCAACTCACAAGTAAAATACTACCTGAGTGAACAGTATCTGACGCCTGGAAGGTGTTCAATAAATGTTAGTGCAATTAATGAATAGATTCAAATTAATTAAAAATCAATGTGCAGTTACATCCCAATGGAGCCAGAGGCCCCTGCTCCAGTGGAAGGATGTGCCTGTTGGCTGATTCACTTCACTTAGATTAAGTCCTTGTGGGTCTATGGGAGCCTCAGCTCTGCTGCACCTTCCGGAATGAGGTTAATGTGAAGGAATGAGATGAGCGGTTAACATGGCAACTTGGAAATGTGAATGGAATGAGGCTTCCCTGGATAGGCCCTGAAGCCAATTGGTTGTGATGCTTCCAGGAAAAAAAGGCCAGAAAAATAGGAGGGAGATACTTTGTATAGAAGCCAGAAAGAGGAAGATCAACCATTTTTCAGTACTGGAAACTTTCCTTTCTGACTTCCAGCAAATGCCGTTTAAGAGAAAAAACAACAACAAAAGATAATTTTTCCATTATTTTCAATTTGACCTGGGGCAAGTTTCAGCCCCCTTACCCCCCCTGCAATGGGGACTGTGACAGCTGCCCTGCCAGCTGCAGGGGTGTCACAAGCAGTATCAGTGCAGTGCCCAACACGAGGGAGACACACGTTGTTGTTGTTAGCTGCTGTCAGGTTGGCTCTTGACTCATGGAGACTCCATGCCCAGTCCTGTGCCATCCCCATGGTCACTTGGGCATTGGACTGTTGTGCTTCGTAGCGTTTTCACTGGTTGATTTTCAGAAGTAGATTGCCAGGCCTTTCTTCCTAGTCTGTCTTAGTCTGGAAGCTCCTCTGAAACCTGTTCAGTGTCACAGCAATGCAAGCTTCCACTGAAAGACGGGTGATGGCTGCACATGAAGTGCGTTGGCTGGGAACCAAACCCACGTCTCCTGTATGGAGAATTCTACCACCAAACCACCAATGCCTTCGTGGGAGAGGCACAATATACAGTGGTAACTTTTTAAAAAGAGAATTTGCCATTTTTTAAAAAAAATCTAGCACTGTTCAGGACTCATGATTTAACAATAGCTACCCTAACATGAGGAGCCCTGAGGGCGCAGTGGTTAAGCATTCAGCCGCTAATTGAAAGATGGGTGGTTCAAACCCACCAGCTGCCTTGCGGGAGAAAGATGTGGCAGTCTGCTCCTGTAAAGATTACAGCTTTGGAAACCCTATGGGGCAGTTCTTGTCTGTCCTTTAGGTTCCCTATGAGTCAGAATCAACTCTACAGCAACAGGTTTGGTTTGTTTGGACCCTAACATGGGCTGGGCAGTTTTATAAATTACTCCCTGCAGGCTCTTCTTTGAAACTCCCAGGGACTGCAGGCAGCTCTGATCCTGTGAAAACAGGACTGCTCTGTGTAACTGATCCTTTAGAAGAGACCACTAAGTCAGGGACCTCCTACTGCTAGTTCACTTCTCTTGGCCTCAGTTTCCCAACTGTGGCAGGAAGGAAGGATGCCCTGGCCGCCTCACAGGATTTGAGTGTGATGAGCCCCACTGAGGATTTGGGCCCCAGAGCCCCTTGGAAGGTGTAGAGGAGGTTTGGCTGCTAGGTTTAGTTCTGCCCCGTGGAGCCAAGGAAAACAGGAGTCGACTCAGTGCTGTTGAGACTGTGGACCTGCTACCATAATCTCTAAAAAGGCGGGAAATTCAACACCGTCATCTTACACAACAAAGATGCCCCTTGATAAATGTCTCTTAAGTGAATAAATGACATCCATAGGCTCATGAATTACTCAGAACAAACATGATGACCACCCCCTCCCCACCATTACCCTGAGGAGAAACTAGAGGAAGACCAGCCGCCCATCTCTGGACATCGGCAGTGGGAAAGCCGTTACTGGGACAGCAGGGAAACAGCGGCCCTGTGTCTCCTGGAGTTCTGCCTGACGGGGCAGGAGTTTGAGTGCTCACTGAAACCTCGCCAGACAAATGGAACTTGTCCTCAGCAAGCCCTCTCCTCTCCACTCGCTGGTAATGATGAGGGACTTACAATGGAGGAGGAGCCCTGGTGACGCAGTGGTTAAGTGCTCGGATGCTAACCGAAAAGGCTGGCAGTTTGAACTCACCAGGTGCTCCGTGGGAGAAAGATGTGGCAGTCTGCTTCCGTGAAGATTACAGCCTTGGAAACCCTATGGGGCAACCCTATAGGGTCACTCTGAGTCAGAATCAACTCGACAGCAGCAAGTTTATAATGGAGGACTTATTTTCATGTCTGAAAAACTTGAACCAACTGGAGTCTACCTGGGTGGGGATGGGGAAGGGAAAAGCAGCTCATGCACTAAAAGTAGTGCTTTTCAGCAGTTTTATAAAGGTTACGTGGACGTGACTGTTGTTAAGCAACAGATATGCAAAGATATGAAAGGAAATGGCATGACATCCAGACTGAAGAGGAAGAGAGAAGGCAGACTTCTTTTCAACACATTTACCCCCACCCCGCAACCAGGGTTAAAAGATGAATCACAGACCAAGGAGAGGCAGGGAGAAGTGGGGGAATCCACTACAATAGTGAGGTATGCCCAGGGGCCTCGCAGGGCCAGGCTGGGATTGGGGGAGAACCTGAGTGTCTCAGGGCACCAGTGGCTGCTGATTTGGGTACCCACCTGGAGGGGTGTCTGGGGTCGCTCTGCTCACAGAGTTCTGCAGTGCGGCCAGCCGGCTCTTCATGTTGCGGATGCCCTCAGCGAAGCGGGTCTCCTGGCCCTTCAGCAGCTGCTGCAACTGGCGGATGGCTGAGAGAAGCTGCTGCTTGTTGAGGCAGTCCTGGGGAGAGGAAGAATCACCACCATCACCACCAATTGTTGTTGGCTCCGCCCACAAGCACATTCTCAGCTTGCAGACTCACCACGGGGCACACTTGCCTCAGCAGCTCACTCAGAACAATGTGGGAGCCCCTGGCTGGTACAAACATTAAGCACTCAGCTACTAACTGAAATGTGGCAGTTCAAACCACCAGAGGAGCCTCAGAAGGCAGTCCTGGTGATCTATTTCTAAAAAATCACAGCCACTGAAAATCCTATGGAGCGGTTGTACTCTAACATACATCGGGTTGCCATGAGTCACAGTCAATTCAATGGCAACTGGACTGGACTGAAGTGCAATGTAAAACTGACCTCACAAGGTGTCCTTCCCTGCCCTAGGCTCTAATTGGACAGGGACATCTGCTGAGTCAGGTCACCAAGTCACAGCCCCAAGCACACATATGGTAGCCCCAGCTCACACCTCAACAAAAACAAAAAATACATAGTCAAGGAGAAGGGCAGAATTGATTACTGTAAATAATTAAGGTGTGCTGTACAATTATTTGGATCCAAAGTGCCTTTGGACCCAAACAATCAGTAGTCTGTTACTCCTAAACACTTTTTCTAATCCTTTAAATTAATGCCCTGAAATCGGGAACTTGGTGAGCTTTTTCTTTCTTTCTCTCTTGGACATTATTAAAAGCAGATGGCTGATAAAACAGGACTGGCAAAACAGGAATACTCAATGGTTTCTATACATTAAAAAAAATCGAACAGGGGAATAAAAAAAAAGATTACCTTAATAGAGTTAAAGATCCATTCAATAAAATTCAGCACCTAGTTCTGATTATTTCTAAAAAGTCATTAAAAAAAGAAAGATTGTGCTTATGACAAAGACCATCTAACTTAAAGCAACACATAACATCATACTTCATGAGGAAAATTTCAAGGTTTCCAATCTCAACTGTCTGTTGGAGTCAGGAAATGAAAAAGGAGGAGGTGGAGACCCTGGGTGGTGAAACAGTTAACGTGCTGAGCTGCTAATGGGAAGGTTGGAGGTTTGAGTCCATCCAGATGCACCTCAGAAGAAACGGCTGGAGATCTGCTTCCAGAATATCAGCCACTGATAACCTTATAAAGCACAGTTCTACTCTGACACATGAGGTCTCCATAAGTCGAAGTTGAGTCTAGCAGCAAGTGGTTTTTAAAAGGAGGAGGTGGAATACAACGGGAAGAGACAGGACCTGGCATGAGGAGAGTGGGAAAGCCTTTCACTTCCTCTTTCGTGAGGGGGTTGTGTATTACCACAGCAGAGCCTACTCTACCCTAATAACAGCTGCAAGGAAGAAAGAAGGTAATGATGGTTATCTCTAAGGATAGGCTCGTAGATCATTTTTAATTTTATTTTTATACTTAATTTTTTCTACAATATGTGTTAGTTTTATAATAAAAAAATATAGTAAAACCTGCAAAAGCTGGAACCTGTGTAAAACGAAAGTTGTCAGAGAAGGAAAACAAAAATATTTTCCACAAAAACGAGCAACAGGAAAGTGGTAAGACTGCACCCTGTCAAAGGCGGAAAACAAGGCAGTCCCGTCAAATTTCCGCCCTCGCGGGTTTCGCTGTGTTTCTAAAAGCAGAGGGGCAGCTGGGTGGCGGGGAGGCATGTGGCCCAAGCAGCCTGGGTGGCTTCTGGCCTTGCCAGTGGAGCTCGGCCACAGAGAAGCAGAGGCCCCATTGCTCTCTCAGGGAGGCTGCCAGGCTGCCTGTACCTTGGAGACTGCACCAAAGAGATGACGCCCTGGCCTGATCCAATGAATGCTTTTGGCAAAGTGGAATCCCCAGTTGCCCCTGGAACTTGTTAACTCATGGGACTTCTTGGTCTCGACCCTAACCAGGGCCTGACTAGGCCTGGTACCAAACAAAAATTGTTGGAAAGAAAGTTTTGTTTGGTTTCCTTTCTCCTCCCCCATTGTGACCCTTCTGACTCAGGCTGTGGGCACCCAGGCAGGGACTTCTTGCAATCCCTGCCTGCCCAGCACCTACCAGCCATCCCACCAGGCCTGCTTTCTCACACACACATCCTCTCCCTGAAACAAACAAACAAACAAAAAAAGGGAGCTGCTTTTATAGATGGTTTCATGCCTTATATATAAGTTACATTTGTGAAGTACTTCACAGTTTACAAAGCACCTTCAGCTACCGGCTGGCAGCAATCCAGTGAAGAAGTTTGGGCATGCATGATTAATTATTGTTTCCATTTCATAGATAATGATATGAAGGCTAAAAGTCAAGTGACTTGCCCCAGATCATGTCATTATAAGCAGTAGAGCTGGGCTGGGAAGCTTGCTGACTCCCAACCCAGCCCCCATCCACCCTAGGTTGTTGCCCAATAGGTTGTCTTATGCCCCATCTCAGCTGTTCTTCACACAACACTGTGTGGTCAATGATCTCATTGATTAATTTGCACTAGGGATTGATAACTCTATCAACCAACCAAAGTATCCCACAGGAGTGAATTTCTAACCCCTGTGCAAATTTCAGGTTGGGGAGTTTGGGCATGGGGACTGGCAGGGGGGTGGTAGGAAGCAGGGAAGGAAGGTGAAAGAAACATCCCTCACCACACTGAGCCAAGCACGCAGCTGCCTTTCTTTTCTACAAGCCAGCCAGGACCATGACAGCTGGAAGAGTGAGGGCTGGGCAGCAGCTGCCTTGCAGGATGCAGAAGGACTAAGTTTTGAAGTGGGGAAAGGAGGACATCAGTGCCAAGGGCTCTGCTAGGAAAGGGTAAGCAAACTGCTGAGAACCTGGGGTGGTAGCATGGGAGTGCCAAAAAATACAGAAAGAAGGGGAGGGTGTGTGGAGGGAAAGATGCCTGTTTTCCACATTGTTGCTGGGCAGCCAAGTGTCTCTAACTCAGGCTCCTGGCAAAACTGTCTTCTGCTTCTGTGGCAATTCCCAGAAGAGCCTTCCCAGCACCTGCTCCATGGACAACTGGCAGCAGCTGCTTTTTCCCTCATTAGGGTGAGATGTGCTCATCTCACCAGTTGTTACTGGAGACCCTTCAAGACCAAGCAAACTAAGGCCACATCCCAGACAGAGAGGGATGGAACGGCTGTGGGCAAACTTGCTGAGTGAGATCAGAAACCTGTGGCCCATTTCCACCCTGTACCTCTCTGGGGTGGTGCTAACAAAGCACATCGTGGTGCAAGGAAGACCTTCGGTGTTCTTGGAAAGACAGCATGCCAGTGTCAGGGCCAGGGAGCCATGGGCATCAAGAGAATGAGTGACTTGGAGCAGCAGGTATGATGAGTTTGGGCTGCAGTTGCTACTAGCAGCTAGCAACTTGATCCCAAAGTGCTAGAAATGGAACCCTTGGAGCCACGGTCAGACTGTCGCCTGTAGTCAGACGTCTGCACGGGAATACCTGAGTTCCTCTGCAGAGCTCAGTGATGAGGCTGGAGTCCTTACAGACCAAGTCAAGTGTTCAAGAGGTCTGCACTGTGGCGACAAAAAGGGTCAGAGGAGGGGGACTGAGAACTTAAGTGTTAACTCTTTCAAACTGAGAAAGCTTGATCATTTTGCTTGATCATAAAAATAAAGCAATTTCCTGCTCACGATCATTAGTCATTAGAGAAATGCAAATCAAAGCTACAGTGAGATACCATCTCACCCCAACAAGCCTAGCATTAATCTAAAAAACACAAAATAATAAGTGTTGGAGAGGTTGTAGAGAGACTGGAACACTTACACATTGTTGGTGGTAATGTAAAATGGTACAACCACTTTGGAAATTGATTTGGCACTTCCTTAAAAAGCTAGAAATAGAAGTACCATACGATCCAGCAATCCCACTCCTAGGAATATATCCTAGAGAAATAAGAGCCATCACATGAACAGATATATGCACACCCATGTTCATTGCAGCACTGTTCATGATAGCAAAAAGATGAAAACAACCCAGGTGTCCATCAACAGACAAATGGACAAACAAATTATGGTATATTCACACAATGGACTACTACACAATGATAAAGAACAATGATGAATCTGTGAAACATAACATGGAGGAATCTGGAGGACATTATGCTGAGTGAATTTAGTCAGTCACAGAAGGACAAATATTGTATAAGACCACTATTATAGGAACTCAAGAAAAGGTTTAAACACAGAAGAAAACATTCTTTGATGGCTACGAGGGTGGGGAGGGAGGGTGAGGGTTATTCACTAACTAGATAGTAGACAAGAATTATCTTAGGTGAAGGGAAGGACAGCACACACTACAGGGGAAGTCAGCACAACTGGACTAAACCAAAGCTAAGAAGTTTCCTGAATACAACCAAACACTTTGAGGGACAGAGTAGCAGGGGCGAGGTTCTGGGGACCATGGTTTCAGGGGACATCTAGGTCAATTGGCATAACAAAGTTTATTAAGAAAATGTTCTGCATTCCACATTGGTGAGTGGCTTCTGGGGTCTTAAAAGCTAGTGAGCATCAATTGGTCCCAACCTACCTGGAGTAAAGGAGAATGAAGAACACCAAAGACACAAGGAAAGTATTAGCCCAAGAGACAGAAAGGGCCACATAAACCAGAGACTGCATTATCCTGAAACCAGAAGAACTAGATGGTGCCTGGCTACCACCAATGACCACCCTGACAGGGAACATCACAGGGAGTCCCTAATGGACAGGAGAAAGTGGGGTGCAGAACTCAAATTCTAGTAAAAGACCAAACTTAATGGTCTGACTGAGACTAGAGGAACCCCAGAAAGCATGGCCCCCGGACTCTCTGTCAACCCAGAACTAAAACCGAGGCCAACTCTTCAGACAAAGATTAGACTGGACTATGGGACATAAAATGATACTCGTGAAGAGTGTGCTTCTTAGCTCAAGTAGATACATGAGACTAAATGGGCAGCTTCTGTCTGGAGGTGCGATGAGAGGGCAGAGAGGGTCAGGAGCTGGTTGAATGGACATGGGAAATCTGGGGTGGAAAGGGGGAGTGTGCTGTCACAGTATAGG